ATATATATATAATTTCACTTTGTAGTGCTTTATGTCATTTACATAGATATAGCTCCCCCACTTTAATAATGATAAAAAAAAAAGAAAATAAGAGATGTATTTTTTCCCACAGAACTTTCTCCGACTGTCAACCGCTATCCGTGATTATGGAGAATGACCCGCTTTACTGTATTGAACTGCCGCAATTAAAGGAGCCTACGGAACAGGCGTACATCTTGTTGGTTTGGATCAACGTTCTCGTAAAGGGTGATCTGAAACATCGTTTCGGCAGTCCGTATACGATGCAAGTTTCGCGCGAAACATCGTACGAGGATCTGCAGAAATTACTACTCAAGGAGATGCACAGTACATTGGCGGATGACGTTCTCACGACCAGTCAGAGCCCGGGACTTTTCAATATTCGCGTGGCGGATCCGGCAGCGACGCCGATTCAAGACGAGCATCCTTGTATCGATCCCTGCGTGGAGCATCCACTTTACACGGAGCAGATCGAGCAAGCATTGGCACTTTGCGCGGATGATTCGGGTCCGCAGCACGTGAAGCTGATCCTCGAATGGGACGAGGCCACCAAGCGCAATATTATACAGGATGACAGCGATCAGATCGAGGAGCACGCCAGTGTGAAACAGTTGAAGACTAATTCCGAATTGGGTGGCGCGGTCACTCTGGAGGAATGTTTCGATTTGTACACGCGGGCGGAGATACTGGGCGCAGAGGACGCGTGGCATTGTCCTTATTGCAATAAGAAACAAGAAGTTGTGAAAAAACTGGGCCTCTGGTCGTTGCCTGATATATTAGTCATACACTTGAAAAGATTCCGTCAGCAGTCTAAGCAGCGGTCAACGTCCAAGTTGACTATGTTGGTGGACTTTCCTTTGTACGGCTTCGATATGACACCGCATCTGGCCCACAATGGCGTTCAGGCGACACATAACAGCGTCACTAGCCTGGGTGGCCTAGGCTGGTCGCCTTGGAAGAAACCACGACCGCGGCAACACAACATCCCCAAGTATGATGAGAATGTATATGATCTCTATGCGATATGCAATCATCACGGACAAGATCTCCAGGGTGGACATTACACGGCATTTTGTCGGAATCCATACGACACGCAATGGTACTGCTTCGACGATACGCGCGTGGAAGCGGTGAACGACACGAATCTGATCACAAACGCGGCATATATGTTGTTTTATCAGCGAAGAGGCTTGTCCAATAATTCCACGGGAAATTCATCCGCGGCGTCCACGAGCTCGGCCGGCTCCGGTCTAGATCACTGGGTATCGAAAATGCCGCCGTTTTACTTCAATAATAAGAGCACCAGTGATGTCACGAACAATAAGCAAAGTAAATCACAAGAGATATTGTGCCAGGAGAAAATTGTCGAGGAGAAAAACATGACTAATTTCACTAGAGGTTGTGGCAATTACGCGACTTTGCAGCCAAAGAAGAGGAACGCGGCGACGGAAACCGATATCGGACAGGTGGATCACTACTCGGACGATGAAGCACCTTGCAGAAGAGAATGGGTATGTAATACATATCTCTATCATTATTAAAATCAAATATATTCATCGAACAAGTGGTTATTTGTCTTTTTTTTTTTTTTTTTTTTTTTTTTTTTTTTTTTTTTTTTTTTTTTTTTTTTTTTTTTTTTTTTTTTTTTTTTTTTTTTTTTTTTTTTTTTTTTTTTTTTTTTTTTTTTTTTTTTTTTTTTTTTTTTTTTTTTTTTTTTTTTTTTTTTTTTTTTTTTTTTTTTTTTTTTTTTTTTTTTTTTTTTTTTTTTTTTTTTTTTTTTTTTTTTTTTTTTTTTTTTTTTTTTTTTTTTGCTAATACTAAATGAAAGAAATAATCATGTAAATTAATATTTAATTGCAGGCCTCCCCGAAACCTGTACGAAAGACTTCATCCATTACACTCACGCCACATATACCATCAGCAATAATACAAAATGCTAGTAGTGATCCGAATACAACCGTGATACACGAATCCACATTGTAACACACGATATAAGCCAGACTGAAATGTCTGGCTCGAGCGATGCTCAATGTACAGTGCCTGGTGTGTCGTGATGTTTGAACAACATCGAGTGGGGTGAGATAAAAAACAAAAAGACTATTCTGGTAGAATATAAATTCATTATTTTTCGATTACCAAACGAGGGGCGGTATATTTAAAGACATCAAAAAATCGTTCCTTTATCTCGAATTTATATAGATTTTTTTTTCGTACAGAGACGCTGATATAGATAACATGGATTTTCAGCGGCATGCTTCTCTCTGCGCCTGTCCTTTTGAGAAAAGTGTAAGAAATTTACACGCAGGCGTTATTTTGAGGATAATAGAAAATACGAGGCATTAGTAATTTTTGTAATTGTAATACCATGTTTATATACAGCTCGCGTGGATTGTATTATACGATAGCTGCTAAAAGATAGCTTTTTAAAAGAAGATGAATCTTATACTCAATATATATGAAGAATTGCGTATTCTTAAGAGAGACAGAGAGGGAGAGAAGAAACCTCTAGTGTTTATATTATATAATTAGAACTTTAATACAATAGGCAACTAAATTCTACATTGTGTCCAGAGGAAGGAAAGATATTTCCGGAGCGGTTCTGTGCAATTGTGTAATGCGTTTAATATATTATGTCAACGTAAACGTCGTAAGTATTGTGTGTCATCTTACAATGAAAGTATATGACAATAACAAAAAATTTATACATTACCAATTCTGCGTTAATAGACAGTTTCTTTACAATATCGTTCGTTTCTGGACATACTATGTAACCATTGACCATTGCTTTGAATCTATGTTTAATTGTAATATTTATATTATACCTGTATCATCTCTCCACTAGTGGCCTTATCTAAATAATTAATACTGACACACACACACACACGTCATTATTAAGCATATTATTCATACTTATTATTTGTAAGCGTTTTATTTTAGATACAGAGACTTCGTTTTGCAAAAGTCATCAAATTATATCAATTTCGCAATCCTTCTCTGATTTTCATTGTTTAGAAACAGCATAAGTTACAGCTTATATTACAAACCATCATTCGAGTTCTTCCAACGATTGTGTGGACACAAAACTCCATCGTTGCAAAAAGGCGTAATTAATTTATGAAGAACATAGAGAGAAAGAGAACAAAGAGAGAATGGCTTTTCTATATAATGAAAACTTAAATCCGCAGTTGGTTTCTTATCATGATTAAATATTAAATCCCTCAATTTTAACAATCATTCCAATCGGATATTGAGTAGGATGCGAACGTGAGCGAAAAGAGTGAAAGAGCGAGAATTTATATACATATATATATATATAGGGGAAAGTAGAATAAAACCGGGTACTTTTTTGGATTTGTCTTCCTATAAAAAATTAGAGAGTAAAAAAAATTTTGCTGACCGTTAGTAGTCTTTAGTGGACCTTAAACTATGAGAAAATGAGGCTAGTTGCTGAAAAAAAATATTTGGTTACCAAGGGCAACAAGATTTTTTGGAGAAGCCAAAATATCCGGTTTTGCCCTACCGGTAGGGTAATCGTGTGCACGTGGGCACGGTCCATCTCAAAATAATGATGGCTTCAATCTAAGAAAACTAATAACACGAGTTAGCCAAAGATAGTAGCTGTATATATAATATTATATATATGTATATATATATATATTATATATATGTATATATAATATATACTATATAATATATATTATTATATATGTATATGTATATATTTGATTATATATAATGAGTGAAAGATATTTAAGTTATTCTATTAATTAACATTTATATTACTAGTCACACGTATTATGGGCACGGGTAAGAAGCGCAAATAACGATGATTAGCAACGATGTAAACCGTGAGATTCACGCGACTCTTACTACCCGTTATTATAATGATTTTAGAAATTGCGGTAAATTGACTGAAAAAGAATCTATACATATATTATTAATATTATTATTTACTCTTTTGTTGGAATGAGAGTAGAGAAAATGTATATATGGAAGAAATGTCATTCCACTTTATGCACATTGCATATGTAACTTTGTCGTTTCCGATTTATGGCTTTCGTGTCACACTCATCGTGCGTTGCTTTTTGTTACACATTTACAAGGGGAAGAAAGAAAGATATCATGATACATACCTTGCATTGTGTACATGTATACATATACACGTACCTCGTCTTTTTGAATATCTTTTTAGATTTAATGCTGACTAATGCGCATGCAAAGTTCTTATTGTGACCAAATAAAACGGGACTCTTTAAGTAATTAAGACACCGCGACACTGATATCTTATTGACGATATGACAGAAATCGTGAATACTTTGACGAAAAATTGGAAATAAACACGATGAGACAAAAATATGAAATATTTCTCTTCTTCATATTTCTATTAAAAGATTTAGATTTAAAAGTATTTTTGCAATATTTTTGCAAATATTTCTTTATCTTATTCAGAAATTTAAAAAAAACTTAAGCATATTATATATAATTATAGAGAGATACATTGTACTTAAGTGTCAAATTTTAATTTATTAGATTGTGTGTACGCGTTTCATTTTCCACACGACTCAGTGTAATTAAGAAAATTTTTTTAAATTATAAGCTTATAAACATTTTTTATATTTCATTTTGTTTGTATGTACATACTACATTTATTTTTCTGCTATATAATTCTTATATATAATTCTAAATAATTCTTATATATAATTATAAAGAGATACATTGTATTTAAGTATCGAATTTTAATTTATTAGATTACGTGTATGCGTTTCAGTTTTCACAATGTAATTAAGAAAATTTTTTTACGTTATGTTATAAAATTATTTTTTTTTTTACATGCAAATTTATTCTTTCGCATGCCTGACGTATCGACAGTATTATGTTAACTATATTGATGCATTGACAACTAGATGGAGTTGGATGTTTTACCGATCAGTGCTGACAACACATGTATTTGATTTATACTTTACAACGTAACTTAACCAAAAAAAAAAATAAAAGGGGGGAGGGGGAATTTAATGATCGATGAAATGAAAATGCTGGCATAGTTATCATCAGGCTTCTCTGAACTAACTCTAGACCTCCTTCTACAAGCATTATTCGCGCCATTTACGCACGCACGGTATCTGTTCGCTAAAGCATGCACTTTCTACACCTTTGTTCCTCCTCTCGAACGCATCTACGTATCTCGTTTTGCACGAAAGTGCGAAGCTCGAACGGATCTACGAGCGGAAATCCTTGGAATCACGCGCAAGTGCAGCAGGAAGGAGAGGGGTGGGGGCGGGAGGGGAGGGGGGACCGACTGGCCGCGACGCCGCCCCACCCCTTCCTTCCTTCGTCAGTCGAGCTCGGGCCTTCGTCGGGGGTGTGTGTGCGTTGTATGTCGTTGATCGCGTTTCGTCGTACGCGAGCGTACGGGCTTGTCACTAAGAAAACATCGAGGTAAGAATACGTTTTTTCTTACGCGCGCGAATAACTCGCGGGTCTCGTCGTCTCGATTAATAGATGATGAGGGACGAGGAATCATCTCGTGTCGCGTATTCTGTCACGCGAGAGATAATCGCCGGTGAGAGACATGCTCCCGCGGACTCGCCCCATGTACATTGTACCGCCCTGTACCCCGTGTCGTAAAATGTGCTCCGGAGTAACATTGTAGTACGTCGTCACGCAACAAAGGCAGCGCCTCTCCATTCTCGAGATAAGCAAGAACGCGAGAAAAAGGAGATGATATATAGTATATACATAGAAGGAAAGAGAGAAAGAGAGGTATATATATATATATATAATGGGAAAGAGTGGAAGGAAATAGAGGAGCCTGATGGCGCTCACTGTCGTCTTCGCGTGTACTCTCGGGGATCGATACACGGTACACACTGGGGGCGAAAGTGTGTGGGTGCAAGAATACATTACACGAACTTGGGACGCGTCGGCTGTGTGCGTGTGTACGTATGTACGTATGTGAGAGAACGAGCGAGAGAGAGAGAGAGTTTGAACAAGAGGCTGTCGGATGGAGTACATGGGGGCTGGATTTCGTCTCGCAGGCTCTCCCGGAACCAAAGAAATCTCGCCAGATGTTGCGTAGCGTGGGCCGAGTATCCCGTATAAAAGCCGGACGCTCGTAAAATCATCGCCGGGACTGATCAAACAAAAGCAAAGAGAAAGAGAGAGAGAGAGAGAGATCGACGTTTTTTTAGACCGGGCGCGAGAGAAGCTTCGTCGTCTCGCGTTCGCGATGGACGCGGATGACAACTCGTCCCTACGAGAGTATCGAACGAGTCTCCGTCCGTCTTCCTCGCGACGACGACGAGCACGAAGCTTGATATGATCGAAGGTGGCGGATGTTAACGGAGCAGGCCAACGCGATTACACGATAGGTCGATGACTTTTTAGCCGTGCGATAGCGTGCACCGACCCGGGTTCGACGGTCGAAAAAACATCGAGAGATCTAGGAATGCGTCATTCGAGTGAAAAATCACGTGTATCGATACTTTGACATCTGTCAAGCAAGTCCCGATAAAATTTTAATAAAGACACGCGCGCGCGCGCACGTGTGTGCGTGTTATTTTTCCGGGAATGATTCCAAATCCCAATTTTTTCGGAGCGTTTAATCGTCGTGCCAACATTAATTGGATAGAAGACAAAGTTTTCAACTTTATATATTCAATATCAAATTTTTAAATTTTAAAAATTTCAGAAAAATCTGTGAAAAATATTTATTTTATAAAAAGATTTATTTGCCGCGTCTCACATGCACACATTTTATATACTTTACATATTTAAAAATTAAAAGGTATTATTCTTAAAATTTATTGTTCACCAATTTATATACAGGGTGTCCCATAAAGACCGTAACAACGTTTAAGGGTAAATTCTTGACATCATTTTAAGATGATTTATCCTCGGCAAAAATATCGATTTCCTTATTATAAGCGATTCAAAAAGAAGGGCTTTTTGCAAACTAAACTTTATAGAGAGTTAAAACTACATTCTTTAGTTAATTTTAGATAGAGTTTACTTTAATAGAGAGAGAGAATTTTAATTTTAGTTACAAAGATATATGATGGAAAAAACTTGGAAACTTGCAAAAAATGATGACCTCTCTCGACATTTTCATTGAGGAAAAATCATCTCCAAATGATCTCAAGAATTTACCCTTAAACATTGTTACGGTCTTTACGGGACACCCTATATATCATTAACATTGCAATATCAAGAAATATATAATGTATCTCATAATGTATTACATAAGATACATGTAGACTTTGTAAAAGGTACCGAAATTAAAAAATTTCGCGTTATCAGTGTCGCTCTTATCAGTTCTCATCATTTCTCTCTAGATGAATACGTGATTAATCTCGAAGCGCGAGATTTTTTTCATTTCGGCGCGATTATTCCCGATCGCTCTTTGATCTCTTTGATCTCGCGGCGCAGTAAACACGTGATCGAGACGCACGAGTCTCGCGTCAATCTGTCCAAAGTGACAAGCGTGCGAAAACCGTATGCGAGACCGTTCTTGTCTCGAGAGTCCCTTCTAAAGACATCGCGCGGCTCTGTAGACGACGTTATAGTCGCGTTATAATCGATCGATCGCTAGCAGTTGCATGTCGCGATATTAAACGACTGTGAAAGATCGGTCGATGACTTTTTGCGCGCGCAATTCGCGATTCACGATACGCTCTGGTCGGCAACAGGCACGGTTGGTTACCGTTTTAATGCCAAAAAGGGCTGATCCAAGTAGCTCTTTTATTAAGGTACTCGATACCTCTTTGCCAAAACCATGTACCTTATTTATTGTTAGACCAGAGGCAAGCGCGAAAACAAGAGCGTTCCGTTAAATTTATTCATAAATGCATCGTAAATTTATACACAATAACGTATCTGGCTAAAAAAAACTCTTGAAATATTAACAAAGGAAAAAATGGTATAATAACTGTTAATAATATATACGTCAGTTTCCTCTTATCTTTAAAACTTCAAAAAATTCTTTTTTTAGTTTTATCTCTCGTGACAAAGCACAACGCGGTCTTTCCTTCACTCAATATTACTAGGTAGCTCCGTTCGCGTTACACATGCACACTCTACATTTTATGCACATAGAACGAAACGCAGGCGTAGTGAATAACTCGAGAGGAAAGAAAAAGAATAAAACTGCAAAAAAGTGCAGATGACGTAGTCTTATAATAACGGATTCAGTTCGTTGCTTTATTTTAAAGAAAAATATTAAGTCTAGAAACTGTGGATTTTATTAAGTAAATTTCTATTTTTTCATTGTTCAGACTCACACAATTTTTTATCTACGACTGAAGAAATATATTTTTAAATATTTGAAATTACTACAAATTATATATATATTGATTTAAATAAAAGATAATTTGTACAAAAAAACGATTGTTATAACATAATAAATATTTTTATAGATCACACAATTTGACTGAAGAAATATATTTTTAAATATTTGAAATTACTACAAATTATATATATATTGATTTAAATAAAAGATAATTTGTACAATTTGTACAA